TGAAAATAGGAAGATTAGTCTTGTGAAATTAACTGATTGATGACCCCGACATTTTATCAATTAGCAAATTTTGTTAATTGCCCAGTTCTAGTAAGATTCACATATCATATCACATAGACTAATTTTGTTTTTGTCTGCCATAACATTCAAAGCTCAACTTCCCACTCTTTTCTTACATTTCAACTTTTCCATGGTTTTGGAAGCTTTGTGTGCACTTTTATACAGAAGACTGTACTGAAAGCACAATTAACCTTCAAATTACCAACTAGTTTTATATCATTCACTATTGGTGGGGTCCAAATATTGCATAATATTGCATAATTTTATGTTTTTGCCCACTACTATATTCAGGTTTTATAATTCATCAAAGCATGAGGTCAAATCACTTTTAAAATCTTAATAGAAAGGGGACTATCCCCCACCCACCCCCAAGCAGTAATCAATGGAATTAACTGTAAAATTGATGGTTGTCTTATTTTATTGTATTATAAAAGACCCCGTAACCAACAAGGTTGTGAACCTCAGGCACTTTGGTGGATAAATTATTATAATATTGTGTTTAAAAAGTCCATATCAATCCAATCTAAACATCTAGAGTTGAAGACTAAATAATGAAATAATATAATGAAAACTACACGTGTTATTAGTGCAAGAAAAACAATGGAGAAGAAAATAAATATAACTCCTCAAGGACTACTACGCAAGAAAAACTCATCATAAAGTATGTCAGTCTGAAGAAATATGGAGAATTAAACAGCCCTGAATTAACGGGATAATACACACAAGCTCATATCGGATCAGAAACAAGGAGGCTTAGAAACTAAGGTAGATACCAACATTCTTGACAATAAATGAACATTTGGGATAGTTCAGGAGATTATAATGTTGGTCACAAACTTAGGAGTAGAGTAATGACAAAAGTACTTATGAAATATTTTACCTTTTGATAAGTTGGATAATAGTTAATAAATCTGTGAAGATACTTTTTTTCTAAACATAAAATAAATTATCTTCAGTTATATTTTGAGAAATATAAGTACCCTATTGTTGGTTATATAACATTTCTGAGTGATATACAACCTGAACTTCATTAATTACTCTTCCTATATACTGAAAAAGTATTCTTTGGCGAGAGAGAAATCAAGCAGCAAGTCATTATTCTTAAATTATATGATAATTTTCCACCAAAGTGAGCTGTGTTCTTAGAAAAGACAAAATCAATCTGGTCATCAATACAGCTACTTAAAATATATTTTTCTGACATATCTACTTACAATGATTGGAGTGCATTGTTTCATCAGTTGGGTTCTCTCGCTGTTAACAGTATTTTTGGCCATAATCTCAATAATATTTGACAAGGTTTGGCCAGCTTAGGAAATTTAGGTTATATAATTTAAGCTAACAGTGCAAAACAATCTTTATTATAAAAGTATAACAATAAACAATATATCAAAATAACATTCAATATACTAACTAGTACAACCAATACTGTTAATCAAAGCAAAACAGAATATTTTAGAGTTGACATACATTTGTTACTGTATTGAACCATCATCTTTCCAGCAAATTTCTTTAGAAATTCTAATCTTGCTCTTCCTAGTACATCCCTTGACCAAAACTATTAGTTATATTCATCATGTCATGTGAAATACAAATTATTCTAATGTTATAATAAAAATGCTCTTAAATGTGAATGCTGTAAATTGATTTTCAAAGCATGTGACATACAAGTACAGTCCGATTCCACAGGATTCCAAGTTTAGCTTTCAAAAGTATGTTTTGTTGAAAAACTAACTGAATGATTGGCATTTCTAAGAATTTGAGTACTGCAATGTTATCTTATGGTAAAAGCAGTGTTGCCTTGAATGAACCACAGATTAACATACACAATTTTCTTTAGCTCATGGACATATTTTACATTATGAAAGATTATTCCAAAAGTGGTTCCCCTGAGGTAAGAGCTGTTTTTTAAAGGGTTTCATGTTTGTCAGATGCATAAACTACAATGGCAAGCTGCAGTTCTTTCAAATGTCAAGGACAACTTCCAGTATTACCAGGGAAGTTTGCTAAAGCCAATTTTCCTGGAAGAAATTCCTCTCTCTTTTTTTTTATCATTATTAATTATGGCTAACATATGAATATGAATCACAAGCTCTCCAAACATTTAAAAAATTATACTATATTTTTGTAGGATGGAAGACCAGTTCTGAATAATTTTATTATCACTATTCTATACATATAGAAAAATCAGTATTGAGCTGGCATTTGTTTTACTTTATAACAAACAGGTTGCAAAATAGAAAAGTAACGGTAATGGTTAATGCACCCACTGTCTTTGTAAACCCTGAAGAGTTGGACTAAACTGACTTGTATAAAATAGTTTTTTTTTTTACAGAAAATGTGTTGCAAAACCATGGTCATGGGACACTAACATGAGACTTCATTTTACAGTACAAGATCATGATAATATTCACTCATGTAACAAATATTTAATTGAAAGTATGTGAAAAATAATTACCTAAAATCTAAGGACACTAAACTCAGACCATTTTACAAGTATTGTCTTAACATAGGCAAGTGATTGCACAAAAGTGTTCACTTTAAAGCAAAAACTTTGGAACACAGAATTAGGACAATCAACACCTCTGATGCTTGTTCTATTAATATATTCACTACTGACAGTGTAATGAAGTTACTTGGTTTCTGTCACAGATATTTACTACTAATTGTAAATAGACACCATCAATATGGAAAGGGATGTAGAATTTTCTTTCACCAAAAACCTTGTCATACCGGTTTTGTTTCAGCCATATTAGTCTAACATCAGTTTTTAGTATAGCGGTGAATAGGGCGGGCAACTCCTGTAGCACAGCCTACAACATACTGTTAGTTTTCAATGATAAAAATGTTTAATGGGTTATTGAGAACCTATATAAAGATATGTATTAATGTTTATTTAACAATGAGTACACTTGATACAGCACCTTTTACGTGGTGTTAATATTAAGTTGGTAATACAATGTATTATTTTGATCATCTTAATCCTCCAATTACTAACTTGCTTTTACATACCATTCACTAGTATAACTAGTGGGGTCCACATAATGCATCATGGAGTAATTTAAAATTTTTGCCTGTTAAAATACTCTATGTAAAGAACTGAGTGAAACCACCCATTTTCTATGTAACATACACATAGGATTCTAGTACTAATTAGTGGGGTTAACTGCAATCATATTAAAACTATATTAAGCTTCAACAATGTTAGATCAATCTATAAAGGTAATATTTATGTATTCCCAAATACACTGTACATTTAATCTTCTCCCTACCATACTGAACTGAAGAGCTGCTAAATATTTATGTACAAACAAAGCATTAAAATATCAGAGCTAAAAATTATAATTGGACAAAAAATGAGGATTGTCTAATAACATATTATGTACATACAAAAAAAACAAAAAAACAACAACAACAACTGGAAACCAAAGTGCTTTGAGAAGGTAAATCTTTCCAAAAGGGTACAAGTAACTGGGTCCCTCGTTTCAAAATATCAAAATATTGGTGCACTGCTTAACAAAATACTTCTGGAATGCCCAGGTGCATTGATTTGACACACCTTTTATATAGTTTGTTTTATTGCATGCAAAAAAAATCACTAGATGAAACTGTTTGATGAACTTTCTACAACTTACATAGCACAACCCAACAAAGAGCAAGCAGCCTTGTCAGAAAAATAAAACTTTAATAAGATTAAAGTGCAAAATGATCTAACTGAGCCTACATCTTGTTTCATGAAAAAAAAAAACTTTTATATTATACTACAACATCATAATTCAAATGAAGTATGAAAATGATAAAGCAATTTGTTTAAATTTAAAAATAAAAAAAATCAGGAATGTAACTATAGCAGAAGTTGTTCACAATCTTTTCTCCTAGCTAGATATAATCAAACTAAGCTTTTATCACTTTGTTCAACCTGCATACCATTCCCCTCTGAACAGGAAGCCATACTGACTTATACAGTTAGAACAGAACAGCTTTCATTATGTATTTCGATCACTAGCTTACCACTTCTCATAGTTGATTATAGGCAATTAAGTCACACCAAGACAAGCAAGGTTAAAAAGCACTGATTGGCAAAAACCATTAAACTACACCTGAAGTTACAAGGTTCCAACTGAGACTGTATTTTAAATTACTTTGACTTTCCTTCTAGAGAGTTATTAGTGCCATAATATAATTAGAAAAAATTCAGGGAATTCACAAACACTAATGTTTTTGGTTGGAGCTAAACTAAAATCAACCTAAGATAAAAATATGATTAAAAAAATCAATTAATTTTAAAATTATATAAACATAACTTCTTTTATTGAACAAACTTTAACTCTAAAATTTCTCACATCTTCATTCTCTATAATTTATTTTACTTTCTTTATGCAATTTTTCCCTTGAGGCATGATGCACTCAGCCAGGTACTACAATTTTAGTTACAATTTTAAAATATCTAAATAAGCACATGTTATTTTATTATTTAAAGTTATTTATGTTTGAAATAAAACTGATACACAAATTAAAAATGAAGTATAAATGTATTTTTTAAATCTTAAAATTTTATTGAAATATTAACCCACAATCTTAATAAGTCTACATGTTTTATGGAATATTTCATAAGTACATCTAGAAATCATGATGTATGTGTATAACAAACATGTACATTTATACATGTACTTTTTCAAGTTTATGTACTTTTTTGTATCAGTAGACTATATTACATAGATTGCATATGTTAAAGTATATGATTACGTATATTGAGTATTTCAGTCTTTCAAAACATTGGAAGAAAAATATAAATAGTTCTCAGTATGAAAGCCTTACTCAATCATTGCATATTACAAAATGCTTTCCTTGGACATTACAACAAACTAGCTAAAAAAGTATTCAAAAGATTGTTTGCATATAAATCACATCCACATGGCAAAACTGGAAATTAAACTTACGTGTCTCCATCTTGGTCTTGTTGAAATGCACTTTGCCACTGGAAATCTTCAACCACAGTTTCTGATAAATGGGGTGTCAAAGTAGTTTTTTCTCTTGAATAAAGGGCATTATCCACATCAGAAACTAATTCAATTCCTAAACCACTATCAAATTTTGTACAAACATCTACATCTTCACACTTAGTTCCAGACTCTTTTTTGAAATCAGAGTCAATAAAATATTCATGATCTGGAAAATGTAAACTTAGTTCTGAAGTGCCAATTGACATTCCACTATCAAAAAAAGTATTGTCACCTTGTAAAATGCTACTTGATGACTGAAAACTTGTAGAGCTGTATCCTGAATCAAACACAGGTTCGTAAGAAATGGATGATAAACATTCATTTTCATCACATAAAACTTTATTTGAAACCAATGTCCTTTTGTACCCTGTTTTATATTCTTTTTGACATGAATGATGTGCATGACTGGAAACCACACTAAGAGTTCCTTCTGAGCGAACATGTATCCCTTGTTTCTCGTGGGGAACTGAACCTTTTTCTTTCTCACTGGAAACTTTAACTTCTTTTGATTTTCTCATTTTGTCACAACCTGAAATAAAGTACACCAACAAACATTATAAAAGTACGTACCATTTTTATAAAAGAGTAGAAGGTAAGATCAAATAAATAAGCATTTTGAAAATTACTTATGTACAGAACTTGTTTGGCTTAGCTTTGCATAAAAGCATTTTAAGATATTGTAAATATAGTAAAGTCAAATAAATAAATAAACAATTTAAAGTAATACTGAAAGTTTCTTATTTCAACAATTCCTAACTGCTTCATTTACCCACTGCTACATTTTTCACAATAATTTAAAGAAAAACTGTTTGAAAATTCATCTTGATTTGAGAGTATGAAAATACAAAACCACCACTAGGGTTAAAATGTAGTTTTTCCTAGTATGAGATGACTACCATATTTATTGTAAATTGGACATATCCTTTAATATTTTTGTGTGCGTGTCTTAACATATTTTTTTAGGAGCATTTGTACAAATAACTTGGTGGAATTGTGGGCAGAAATACAAGACATTTTTAATAATATTATGCAAAAAAACAATGCTCTGTCTAAAGCAAAGGGCTCGCAAACAAAACACTAATGTACTATCCAACATCTTCACTTTTAATTCTCTGTAATAATGCTTTGTATCATTAATAGGTCCACCATCTAGTTGTCATAATTCATTATTTGTGACTATGTGTTAAAATAAGTATTTCCATTACTATATGTACTTTTAGGACTAACAAATGGTAGATTTTGAAGATATTACTAGATAAAGATTTGAGCCTTCAAAAGCACTAATTTGCATAATTTATTGATGATGTTGCCCTAACTACTATTTTATATTTGATTAAAAAGGTTTGTTTGTAGTTAAGCATAAAGTTACACGAAGGGCTATCTGTGCTCTGCCCACCACAGGTACCAAAACCTGGTTTCTAGCATTGCAAGTCTGCAGACATACCACTGTGCCACTGGAGGGCTGATTAAAAAAGAATTAAAACAATTGCATATAGTATAAAAATACATTATATAGAACAAGTATCATGTTTCTACATCTTAGATTTCTTAAAAATTATGTTGTTTATGTATATGCATTTGATGTTATGTGCATATCCAAATAGCTACATACTCCTATTTTAACAGTACGAGCACCCTATTACAGACAATTAAATGAACTGCTGCTGCCTTAAGAAAACATATCTTTATTGAACAGTGAGTTTTTTAACATAAAATTGTTGATTAATGAAACATACCTAATGAATATAATAATACATGAACAAAACAGTAACACTTAACAGTTTGAATTGAAAATAAATATATTATCTTCAGCCATTTTTTGAATAACACTGCTGATTAATTAAAGGTACACCTCAAAGAAGGTGGAGGGGGTGTAGAACATACACGGGTGCTCTTTTTTCAACATTAAAATTAGTGTTAGCATATCTTTTATAATTTATATTTATTGTACTATAACATTTCTCTTACACACTAAGCATTCAGTATATTTTATTGAAGCAGTAAATATCTGATAGGACATGGTCAAGATAGAGCAAGCAAAAGTTGTTAAGAGCACTTAATAATCAGGTTTGAACATATCAGCTTACAACTAAGATATTGAATAACATACACAACACTTAAGACATTAAACAGAGTTTGTGAAGTTTATTTAAGAAATATGATAAAGACAGATCAAATGACGTACTATTACACATGCAAGATACAGAAACTTAATTCAAAGTTGTGGTGTGAATTAAGTGATACATGCCTTTCCCAAAACTCACAAAAGAATGTTCAAAATATTAGTTTATTTTTATAGTACTTCAAGTGTTCAGATATGAGGTACCAAATTTTACACAAGCAAATGCAGCACTTTGAGTTAAGTATTTTCTGTAAAGTGTTATAAAATTTTCAATAAATATATACACGAGATTTAATATTATCTTTTGTCCTTTTTTTTTGTAGCAATTAAATAAGTTTTTATATAAGAAGAATATTGCGTTTAAAATAAATGGTTCAAACTAGTAAAGAATAAAAAAGTTACTGTAGCCCTTTGTTTGATCTTATAATTCAGCATAAAATTTTGGTTCAGTTATTACAGTAACATTATTAAGAAAGGCTCCAAAGACAAGGTACTACAATGATTCATGGTTTAACATATTCAAAGTATGAAAAGAGATAAAAAAATTGTTTATTGTTGCGGGAGTGTAAAAGAAACAGAAATGACGTGTTTCTAACTTTAGAAATAATTAAGAGGCTTTGATAGATTGCACGCAGGAGGTTTAATTGAGTGCCAAAATTGAATACAGATATTATGGACAAATATAAGTTTTAGAATTCAAATACAGATCTGTTATTCAAAAAAATTACTTCTCTACAAGATGTTAAATTTTTTTATCCAATTGATGTGATATTAACTTTGAATTTAAAAACTTCTGTTGGATAGATATACAATGCTAACCTGAAAAAGTAGATTCAGTTTTCTTGTAGTTTTTTTAGTTTAATATAACAAACAGTGTGAAATAATCTGTGAATTTCAAAACACCATGTGCAAGTAAAATGAAGTGATTAGCAGAACAACCACTTGGCTAATATACTTATAAAATGCTGTAAAATTTCACTAAGCAATTTGAAAACCTAAGTAATTGAGGTTGAATATCTGCTATAAACACAAAGTAACTGAAACTCAGCAGGGGAGTAGAAAAATACAAATAAGCATTAAGTGTAAACAATAGCTAAAATAGAATTTACTGAGTCAAATTGATTGTACATGTATGAACTAGCCATACATATTCAACAGCAAAAATGTTTTGTCAAGACATTTAAATGTATTTTATTGATGTTAGGTTATTGAAAAATTGAAAAAATATCAATGTTGCTATAAAAAATTAAAAAAAACCCAATACCTTTTTTTTCTAAAGTGAAGCTGCCAAGGTTATATTTAACAACTTGAAATAGCAGAAAAAAATTATTTCAGTATTTGTTCAAATCAAAAAAGCCTAGGACTTTTATCAGCTGACTCAAAAGTGCATGGTACAAGAGTACAATTGTCTAACAATGAATCTTAGGTCATAATTTGAAAACAAGATCACCTGAAAATTTACATAATTTTGGTAAAGCCAAGGTTCAACATATTTTCATGCTTCAGATCTCTTATTACAGAATTAAAAAGTACTTATAATGATCTATTTCTTACACAATTTAGGTCATAGAATGGTCAACACAGTAAGTGGTAAATATGCAGGCAATACAAATCTTCAACAACTTACAGTCTGCATTACTTTACAGTAAAACAAATTCACAACTGCAACCAATTTAAGAAATATCATGTAATAACTGCAGTGTAATATTATTTCTTCTAAGCGACTTAGATTTGACTTAACTTAGTTAAGCTAAAGTAACAACTAAAATATTAATTGATATACTATGAGGGGCCACTTGGTCCTTTAACCGCAATTTCTTTTAATTTAATTTTAAGGTTGAGAAAAGTACAAATTTAAAACTACCCTTTATTTTTATTTTTTTACGAAATCATCGATTTTCCCTAGTATATCAGTATCAGTGATAAACTCTGTAAAATTCCAGCCTATACTATTTAGTACTAGTACAACCATCGGTAACTCATTTCATAAAACAATAACCCTGTTCAAAAATAACTGTTGTAGTTAGAAGTTGGAACCTAGCCCGTATTTTCAGTTTTCTAAAGTAAATCTTAAATTTGTGTCTTCTCATCTTACTAGTACTAGTACAACCTTCACTTGAGAATACAACACAAGAAAATCAAAGGCCTTTAACTTTATCATTTTCAATTCTCCGGATAATTTTGAGAAACTAGTATAAGAGCACATCGTATTCTGCTAAATTAGTAAATATTAGTAGCTGGCCAATACATTATACAATATCCACCAAAGCCCTTACCTTGGCCTCAACTTAGGCTTAGGAAATTAAGCATAATAAGTAACACAGCTTATGTACTCTACTAGAACTATGCTACCGTTGTTGTTTCAATCACTTACCAACAAAGTCTGCAATACAGGAAGCTTTATCTGTGCGTCTCCTTTTTACAAACAAATGTTCATTAAGATACTAAATAACTAAAGAGCTTGCCCGAAACGAACAATATTCTCAAACGTCATACAAATCTGAGACTACACATCACCATAACCATCCACTGAAATACTTAAGGCTAATAAATATGGGAAACCTCTTTCGGGAAATTCCGTCTTGGTGTTATTCAATATATATACCCAATAGGCGTTTAGATCAGAAGTCATGTGACAAGGGATTTTCCTTAGATTGTAAGTGCGTCCCTATAATTTGTACACCTTGCTTAATGTTTCGTTAAACATCCCATGTCATAATCTTATCTTCTGACATGGGATATCCCTTATCTTTCTTGTTCTTTGTTTCAGATAATGTTATTTTAACCAATTAAAATTAAAAACATAAATTTAGAATATTTATTTTACATCTATAGTTAAATAGTTAGTATATCGCATGTATTTAGAGAGTTGATTATTACAGAAATAAGTATATAGTAGAATAAATCACTCGAAAATTTAAATACTTAAATTTATCAGACGTTTAAAAAATGGAAGTAATTTTATGAATACTTCAAATTTATATTCATAAGGCTATGGAATAAAATAAAATAAAACATTTCTGGATTAAGTCATACAATGCTGGCTAATCAATTAATAATCTTTTATTACTGTATTCGTAAATAATATTGTTTTATTTTATTTCGATGTTCTGATAATTGTAATATTTATCCTCTTTTTGTTTATTTTTAATTTCGCGCAAACCTACTCGATGGTTATCTGCGTTACCAGTTTATAATATTGAAGTTATAGACTAGAGGGAAGGCAGCTCGTCAAAACCACTCACCGCTAACACTTGGGCTACTCTTTACCAACGATCGAATAGTAGGATTGATTGTAATATCATAACGCTCCCATGAGTGAAAGAGTGAGCATGTTCGGCGACCTCCAAAAAATGTAGCTGACTCACTCTTCATTCAGTAATATTTACATTTCGTTTATTGCTTTCGAATATATCTTATCAGTTATGCGCCGTTTGTTTATCCGTTTACGACCAAAAAGATGAGGATTTATAAACTAATAGTTAAATATACATATATATATATACATTTATAGTGTATACACTGAATATTGTTTTGACAGTCGTTATAATTAAAAAAAAACACAGCCATATGATACTATATATTATTTTGTTCCTTCTATAAATAGTTCGATATACAAATGATCAATTGTGAATCACGATAATATTTCATTAGTATTTTCACTTTCATTAATACACTTTAAGATCACTGGGTGTTTATATTATAGAGGTATTTCTGTAACTAGGTGTTGTTTTTCTATTATTATTATTGTTGTCATCCTGAATATCTGTAACTCCAATTTCGAATTTCTCATGTTACAACTCACAAGTATAAATTTAATTTGCATATAATGTCCAAAGAATTTTTGTGATCCTTTGAGAAATTAAATACCATGAACAATGGTGTTTTCAAAGCCGTATAAACTTTCCGTACAAACATGTGAAGATTTGTTGTTCGACAAGGAACGACAATACCATATCCTCTAACGTTACCTGTTAGTTTCGACATCTGTTGGCAAATATTTACAAAAACATTAAAGCTATTTCAAGATCATCCAATACAAATTGTATGATGAACACGAAATTGATCAAATTTACTTCTGAAACTAACTTATGGTAAGTGTGAAGATGTATTTTCCAAGAACATTGTCAAGTGTCACATATGTAGGAAGTAGAAATATTTAAAATGTGAAAATGTTAATTGTTTCAGAATATAAAGATAAATGTATTATTAAGCTTATATTTTTAATGATAAAACTTAAGAGCCATACCCGCTACTATACGTTTAATGAAGTAATGAAATTTAAAAATGGCTCAATGTATATTATAGTTTAGTGATTACGATAGAACAATGTATTATATGATAACACTTGGGTAGTGAATTACAACATAACAAATTATTTTATTCTAATTATCGCAACAATTAAGACTTTTTAATTCATGAGCAACAAGTCATGTGAGTGAACTTGTTAAGTATAAGAACGTTATATGCAGTTAACTATAGAAGACTAAGAATGACGCCAAAATTATATAATTTATAAAAAAAAATATGTTTCAATAACGTCAAAAATTTATTGGTTGGTTTTTGACCACAAAGCTATATAACGAACCATCTTTGCTGCACCTACCACGGGTATCGAAACCCGATTTTTAATATTATAAGCTTCCAAACACACTATTGAGCCACTATGGGTGAACGTCAAAAATAATATTTTGACTTGAAAAATAGGAATCATAACAGGTCACTTGAAAGGATCACCTGTTTTAACCACTCGCACTTTGCAACTTATACTGGTGTGACGTTAGTAAAACCTGCGCATGCCATGAACTTCAAGAAGAATTATGCACTCTGTAGGCTACAACACAGCACGAAATATGAGCTTCAAAAGCAAGAAATAAATACATTTGTTACTCTTAATTTTGATTTTACTTACCCTTGAAACAGAACACTTTCGGGGACCCTGCGGAAGTACATCTAGTCAATATGTTTTGTTTGTTTCTGCGCAAATTAAGTTGTAAGTCTGAAACTTACCAGTGACCTGTTTGGGGACCAATATGTTTGGAATAAATACATCTTATATCAGCCATTACTAGTTGTTTGATTACCTAAAAAGGTTTTTTGTTGTCGTTTTATGAAATATACACAAAAATTACTTCATCATATATACTAAAATAATTAGTCAATATAACAATTGTAAATGACAGAGAAAACGTCTAAAATATTTCCAGTTGTTTCAGAATATATTTACGCAAGAGTACATAATGGGCTATATACGCATAGCCGTCCCTAATTTTGAACTGATAGACTATATCTACCTACAACTCTTGAGTTACTCTTATCTATCCTGATTCGGCTTTCGCTCTTATAGTGTAGTAAGAGCCCAAGAGCGTGGAGCGCGTTTTTGCAGCAATGGGACATAAACCTTGATTCTCGGATTCAAAGTCCAGGCACGCTAACTATTAGACGACGACCAACCCAAATATCTTTTCAGGCTACCGTTTCAATAAGGACATGAATTTTTCTTGATACCCGCATAAAGTTCAAGAATAATTGTGAAAGAGTTAAAAATATATCACAAACTTAGTTAAGAAAGAAAAGTCTGGCAACGAATAATTTCAAAATGTTATTGAATATTCTAAGCATAGTTATAGGGTCTTAAAGCTGAGTTTTATGAATATTTGAGTTGAAACTTCGTTCTAAAGTGTGTGTGTATGTGTTTTTTTTTTTGTTGTTTTTTTTCAGAGACTAACACGATTGGTTTAGGCGGGAAATTATAAGGAAAACTACAACTCATACGAGATTAACAGAGTGTGTGCCTGATGTGGTAAATCTCCCACGCTCATGTAAAATTAAATTTCAAGGTAAACTTCTTTCATCGTTGCAACCGTCCATAATGACGTACGGTGTAGCATACACATCACGTGTATCTATATTTTTCAAATGGGATTATATATATGTAGACTGTAGTGTGTATGTGTGCGCGCGCATGTATTGTTAGAACTTGAATCCCACAAAATATACAAGCTAGGTTGCATTCACTAAAACATTACCCACAAAATCAAAAGAAATCATTTCTGGAAATTACAAATTTGCCGTTACAGTCATTTAGGATTGAACGGGTTAGGAAATTCCATGGTCTACTTTTCCATCATGTTCAATGTGTGTGTGAAAACAAACATGCTTTGTAATCACCATAGCTTCTTTATTTTGTCTCTTATTAAGTATATTAAACCGCAATTTCCAATGCATTAAATTTTTACCACGTCAATTGACAGAACGTTTCTAAAAAGTGAAAGATAGTACACGACAGAAACCTTGCTGGTAGTGCTTCTTTCAAACTTTACGTAATGTCACCCCCGCGATGTTATCAAATTATGTATTATTTTTACTTTAGATGTTCCTAAGATATCGTTATTACTATTATTATTAATTCAAATTTAATTTTGATCTTTCCATGCTTTCCATTAGTATTGGTATAATTTTCTTGTTATAGTTTAATTATTGTCTTTTCACTTTCTACTTACAACTTGTCTATCATTATAATGTCCATGCTATACTTTAATTAATGGGCTTTACTTCAGAGCGTTTATTTGTACTGTGAATGCCAAAGCTACTAAGGCTAACTTCCTCCACTACTACTCTTGAACTGTCAACTAAAGTAAAGAAAATCGGATAGCATCATCCACCGCCAACTCTTGGGCTACTTTTTCGCCAAAGAATAGTGGGATTAGCTGCCACATTATAACGCCAACCTCCTGACAGAAAGAGCGAGCATATTTGGTGGCAAGTTTTGATCTCGCGATTTGCATATTATGAGTTGAGCGCCTTACTCACCAGGCTCCATACTACCTAGTGTGGTGGAAGACAGACTGCATTCAAAAGTAAGAAGAAGATAATACGTTTTATTTATCTTTATTCAACTTTGAGGGAATTTTATCATAGTTTTTTTTTTTTTTTGTAAAATGGACCAGACGTGGCCTAGCGATATATATATACTCGGACTGTGAATCCAAGGACTTGTGGTTCGCATCCCGTTGCCGTAGAAACGTGTTCCACACTTTTGGGCTACAGGTGTGCTGTAAGAGTGATGGTGAAATCCTTCTGTTCGGCCAGAGAAGAATAGCACCAGAGTTGGGCAGTGGGTGCTTTTGACTAGCTGCTTTCCTTCTAGTCTATTAGTTCAAAATTAGGGACGGCTATGCGCATATAACCCTTATGTAGTTTTGAGTAAAACTTGTAAAAGAACAAACTTTTGTTAAACGCATATTTAAGTAATGTCACATTGCAAATTCCAAGAAAGTAGAACAGATTATTTGACCTTTGACTCCTTAGCGTTCTATGAGAAAATACATTCTTAGACTTCTTATTTATTCATCTTCTGAAATTTAAATTATTATTGCTTGCATATTCTGGTATAATTTTACATCTATCATTAACAAAGTATTGTGGATTTCAACATCATCCAATATTTTGCCCTAAACGAGAGTCATTAGTGACCTGTAGCACAAGTGTAGCGATTTTGAAGTTGTTTTGACAGGTATATTAAATATTTTATGGGAATTTAATCATTAATATTCCTCCAATGATTTTTT